TTGTAAGTGTATTTATTTATTTAGTGGTTCATTTATATATTTCTGCTTTCATTTCTAATTATGTCAGTTTTGGTTCTCCATACTGCAGAACATGGAAGGTAAATCAGTGACTGAATCAGGTGTGTTGGAGCAGGAAAAATGTAAAACATGTAGGGCTGTGGCCCTCGAGGACCAGGATTGCCCACCCCTGCTGTAGAGGAACCYATTGAGCAGAAACATACTGATTCTCTCCCAATTTAAAGCAAATGACTATAACTGAACAAAAAGTGTAAAACATAAGACTGTACCTAAGGTTCAGTTAATTAGTCACAAAGTTTCCTTTAATGCAACGTGCATCACTTTACCTATTGTGAACATCACCGTGTCAGCTAACTGAACATTGTTGATGTTGATCCTGGGAATGAGTCCTATCAAGCCTGGGATGACGTCAGAATAATTCACATCTATCGTCTCTGATATGGACTGGAAGCCATAAAGCAAAGCTTCTGTGTGCTGGAAGAGAATGTGCAAGTTAGCAGAACTTAATACAAAAAACAAGTAGAAATCTTTGGCATCATGTACACTAGAAGTCCAAGTTTGTCTTGGTTGTCTTGATTTTAATTTGAGCTATGTGGGATTCTGCGTAACAAAGATAAAAACTGAAAATAGGCACCATATTTTTTGTGTGCCGGTGTGTGTGTGTCTTGCCCACCTGCCATGACGTAGGCTGTTCTGTATTAGTCAACAGCCGCCCTAGTTTATCATACAGGTTACTTAGCAGCTCTGCTCCCAGCATCTCATAGACATACATGAGTGTGTCTGAGATATCCACCCTGAGGAACAGACACACACAAACAAACATCAGAGGCATGAATGGCATAAAATCATAAAATCTTACCAGTTCATTTATATGACAGACAAGTTTTGCCCTGCTAGCTGCCTGTTCAGTCAGGCCTAGGCCTCCTGCCTCCCTTGTGAAAAAGATCTGTGATCTGAATAATTTGACTGGTTAAATAAAGGTAAATAATTAAATAACTGTCTGGTGAGAGTCCATTAGAAGCCAAAAAAAAAAAACTAAAACTACTTATTTGCTGATCAATAATAATAATACAAATATATGCACCTGTAAATCCTGAATTGCTCCTTTTCATCTGAAGACCAGGATGCATATTCCTCGTCTGAGGGGAACTGGGCTTTGTGCAGCAGAACGTCCACCAACTGGAAATAAACTGGCCTGTACACCTGAAGATACACTGCCTGTTTGTCTGACTCACATGACATGATTTCATCCTGAGAAGAGAAAAATAACAATAAAACACTGACACAAACAACAGCGTTCAAACATGTACATTTTTAGACAGAAAGCAAAGCCGAGCATTTCAGAGAAGTTACTTTGTTAAAAAAAGTGTTTTTAAACCGAGACCAGGGCCAGTAAAGATTCATGCATCAGGATGTATCTGATTGGATTTACTGTTACTGTCTGTGCTTAGAAAAGAGGAGGTAAAAGTAGGTAAACAATAGTGGCTGTTAAACACAAAATTTAGTTACTGTTTATCCAATCCGTAATATCATCATCAAGCTGTGACAGATATGATTTTAACATTTCTTACTTGTAGTGTGTACCAAAAAGTAAGTGTAAGGGAGCTGGTGGTCTCATTGACCGGATAGTGGCCAGGAATGCCAGTACAGAACATGATCATGTTCACTAAAGCCAGGAAGCTCTGCCAGTGGTCCACCTGCTCCAATAGAGTCCTGCAGAGATGTTAGACAAAAAGACAAAAAAAAAAAAAACCCAATGATTTAGAGGAAGAAAATTACAGCTGATAGAAATTTAACCCAAAATACAACTATCAGCTCAGACAGCAGCAAAAGCCTAAGATTACAAAGGATGCCTTATTTCATTTCAAACGTTGAGCTAAGTTTATAGTTGTTGCGATGAACGTGGCCGCACAGGCTGCATGCGCTGTGTTCCATTCAAATACTTTGTTTGTCCGTCGAGCATTTGTTCCCCTTTTTACAACATTTCTCAAGTTTTAAAGTGCCTACAGTGCTTGTGAGGGTGCGCACGCCCTTAGCTGAGCCCTATGATACACTTAAGAGCCTTTAGCCATAATGATATTATCAGCTAGAATGACAGTTAAAATAAATGCTTATTACATCCGCCAAGGATGTAATGTTTTCAGTAGAGTTGGTGTTTGTCCATCTGTCTGTCTGTGATGAACAGATTTCCATGGAAATTTTCAGGGCATGTTAAAGGTGGTCACAAGGACTGGACTAAATGTCTAAAAAAATTCCTTGCACTGAGGCTGCACTGTGTAGAGGCACGTCCCCCAGGTGGTGGATAGGGGATCCCTGCTATGTAGGGGTGTGCCTGAAAGGCGAATAGGGTGCCGTGAATCAAAAGCAGCCGGTAGGTGTGGCTCGATAGCCTTGACAGGCAACACGCCTAAGAGAAGGAAAACTCTGAATTAAAACCCGGGCAACACTCGTTAACACTCGTTAGCCGTCCATCCCTGGTGGATGGCAAGTTGACAGTTTTAAAACATGAGCGAAAAAGGGACCGGCGCCCAGTACCCGGCAAAAGGGGGTTCTAAAATCTCTGGGGACCCAGCCTGTGGTGCCTTGGGTGCGGGTGCCACGGGTGGTCTTACGACCGTGCCTCTGGTCTGTCTGGTGGGGAACCAGGTTGGGCAGGCCAGTACAGTGACTGGAAAAACTCCTACTCCGGCTTTGGAGCCTGATGCTTACGTGTTGGGCTCTGGACAACCGGAGGACTTACTGCCTGGGGGCTCGGCGACGGCTTCTGCCTCTGCTGATGCTGGGTCTACCAGGACTACTCAGCACGAGGGTAGCCCCTTGACTGCACCTCACTGGGGAGCGGTCAGAGCTGCACAAGTGCTGGGGTCTTCAAATGACGAGGACACCGACATACTGCTGGGGTCCTCTGATGGAGGAAAGGTCAAGGGGGGAGATGTACTCTCAGGAGATCTAGAGGGTCTCTCCCTCCAAGACCCTAAGAAAAAGAGGAAGAAGAAGAAGAGGAAAAAGAAGAAACCCTCTTCTTGTTTGGCAGCTGGGAAAGGGGAGTCGGCGAATGAGCCTTCTAAAGGGGCGGGAGCTGACCACCCTAAACCCAGCACATCTAAAAACAGTGCTGGAAATGGAGCGGGGCCGCCTTCTCGTAAGAGGAAGAGGGCTACAGCCTCGACTCCAGGGAGTGCACAAGGTCAAATGGCACTGGTTGCTGGTGGGAACCTGCAGGTTATCATCTTTCTAGATGATGACCCACACAGACCTCTGAAAAAAAGAGGAAAGTGAACATGTGCAGGCCAGCCTGGTGGGACTCATTGACTAGGTGCCAGACAACCATCCGGTGCCACGGTTCAGTGAGTCAGGTCTTGTGYAGGGCACCTTTCGTGWGACCTGCGCAGACGAACCAGCTATGGAATGGCTCGTACGTRMTGTCTCCCAGATCCCTAGTTGGGAGGGCCATGGATTCTCTGCCAAGAGAGTCTGGGACCTCCCAGTTCTTAAGAGAGTTGGTGTGTTTGTGCCTGGGGAACCTGCAGAAMCCCAGGTGGTTCTGTGCCGACTCCGGAGACAGAAACCAGGACTGCAGACAGATGTCTGGAGGGTAGTTCGTGTTGAGCGGTAGACTACTGGTCAGTTTCTGCTTCTTAGTGTGGACGACARGTCTCTAGACGTCTTAGCAGATTTGGGGAACAGGCCATACTTTGAGCTGAGCCGTCTGACTTTTTGGTCAGTGACAAAGCAATTAGTGAGGCCAAGTAGTGAATCCTATCCTACCTCCCAGACTTTGTGGCTGTGGGGATGATGGAATTCATTCAGAACAACTTGCATCACTGTAAAGAGGCCAGTGCATTGCTGTGTACTTGCCTTAGCAGGATGCATACAGGCATAGCCTTCATCCAAGAACCTTGGATTGTAAAATCTATGGTAAGAGGCCTGGGATTTCCTGGGGGCTCACTTCTTTATGATGTGAGCAGCCAAAGGCCCAGAGCAGCAGTAGCCCTGGCAAGAGGTGTAAGATACACTGCACTGCCCCACCTAACAACAGGTGATGCTGTAGCAGTGCAGCTGGACATTCAGTCAAATGGTGAATCCAGACAAATTATTGCAGCTTCTGTTTATCTGCCATTTGATTCACAGCAGCCATCTCCATCACAGGAGTTTATGGCAATAGTCGATCATGCTAAAGCTAAGGGCTTCTCCGAACTTATAGGCTGTGATGCCAACTCCCATCATGTGTGCTGGGGAAGCTCTGATATTAATCCCAGAGGTAGATCTCTGTTAGAATACTTGCTGACAGAAGATCTGCTAGTTTTTAATCAGGGCAATGTACCTACCTTCCAAACCGTTAAAAGGAAGGAGGTCATTGATATAACAGTCAGGTCTATGGACTTTGTAAACAGCATATGTGACTGGGAAGTGTCCCCAGAGGAAACCATGTCAGACCATTGACGTATTCAGTTTAAGCTGAAGATGGGGAAACCACACCCAGTCACTTACAGAAACCCAAAAAACACCAATTGGAATGTGTTTACTAACAATCTATCTGGGTTGATGGGTGGAAGAATTKCCAGGATTAAAACTGTGCAAGACATAGAGACAGAAGTCACAAACATGACTGATGCTATGCAAATTGCCTACAAGTCTGCTTGTCCGGAGAAAGTCTGGAGGCCATCAAAGCAGCTGGCTTGGTGGACTCCAGAGTTGTCTGGCCTCCGTAAGGCAGCAAGAAGTAAATGGCAAAGATACAGATTCCAACCAAGGAAAACCAGGTGGGAACAGTATGTRMAGTCYCGCAATCACTATAAAAATGTTCTAAGGGAGTGTAAGAGACTTTCTTGGAGAAAGTTCTGCGAAGAAGTTAAAGGGCCTARTGCTTCTTTTAAGCTGTACAAGCTTCTTAGAAAGGATCCAGTCAATCAACTATCCTTCGTTGTTCCACCAGGATTGCAAGTCACACAAGAAAGTGTGCTTCAGCATCTTCTCCAGGTATATTTTCCGGGGGCAGAAGAGACTGCACAGCCTGACACAGTCGCCGCCCTAAATCCAACCGACGGCGRCTGGAGCAGAGCTGCAAGTATCKTTAMGAAAATTTAAGTAAAATGGGCAATTAATATGTTTGACCCATTTAAAGCTTGTGGTCCMGATGGTATTTTCCCAGCGCTTCTTCAAAGAGGACTGGATGTACTTCTGGACACAATAACTAGAATATACTKTATGTTGCTTGTCTGGCAAACAGTTATGTACCAGTTGGGTGGAGGATGGCGAAAGTCGTATTCCTGCCCAAACCAGATAAAGCAACATATAGAGAAGCAAAATCTTTCAGACCCATCAGAAAAAGGCTATATTTTCATTTGCACTTTTTCAGATTTATTTTTACATATTTTTTTAATTGAAACGTTTACATTAAACATTTTTAATTTATTTATTTTATGCCCACAGTTTTATTTTTTGAATTTTTGATATTGTTTATGTTAAAATATATATATTTT